TAACACAGTGTGAGTATCAATGCATATATACTCAATGGGTGACTTTAGGCTTGTGTAAATGGGTATGTTCCAGTCAAAGCTTTACAATAATTTTCATAATTTAAATGTTTTCCCCTGACATTTAGTAATTTTAAATGTAGCCTTTAACTGAATTTTTAAATTACTATAGGTTATACTTTAATTTCATTAATGATCCTGATAGTTTCTGAGTGATCCCATTATATTAATTCTTCTTTAACACTGAGTTATTTACTCTTTATTTCTGTAATTTTCTCTGGGTATTATTCCTTACTCATTTGCAGCATCTAACTGATTCTGCTGATACATTAAAAAAGCAAAAAGAAAATTAAATAACTGCCCATTTCAGCCAAACAAAATGTTCTTACAAATTAGTTTGTAGTTAAAAGATGTGGAGCACAAAGTTATTGTGGAAAGAAAGAAAAATCTTTTTATGATAAGTAGGGTCTACAAGTTAAACAGGAAAACAAAATGCTATAGATACAGTTTTACAGCTCACAAATGCTGAAGTAAATTAATAATCCAGGGGCTTAAATCTTAAACGGCTTTTTCAACTCTTTATAAAAGGATCTCTGCAGGCTTTACCCATGTTTACAATTTACAGTCAACTACCTGACTGTATAAAATAATAGAGAGAAAATTTAAAGGGAAAAAATGTACAAGGAGCTTTTATATCTAAATTTGGGCCAGTTTCAGTTTCAATGAAGCTGGAAATGCATTTGACATTTTAAAACCTTGTGGTTCATAATGTGTATTCTTCTCAAAAATAGTTTTTGTAATACTAGATTCTCCAAATGCTAGATGTTATTATACAGGAGGAAGAAAAAAAAGCATATTGTAGACAGAAAAAGACTGGAGAGCCAAAAAAAATATATTTACAGTAATTTTCCTAATTGAAAGAATTATTTCATCACTGTGTGATGCTGCTTTCAATAACATATACATTACTAGCAATAGATTATGGGCTGAGAATTACAACCTTCTCTTTGTGCTGTGAAAAAGGCAGGGATGGTTTATATGGGGAAGATTCATGAAGACTGGGACAAAGAAGAATGGATTCTGCTTGTCCTTCTTTGCAAAAAAAAATTAGCTGTATAGCTTTTCCAATTTGGGTATCAGGTCTTCCTCAAGTATTTGCTCCCCCAGGCCTCACTTCCCTCCAGGCGTGGTCTTCCTTGCATTACTGCTCCATCTTCAACCTAGAAGTTTGCTTTCTTAATGTCACCTGTATTCTATGTAGAAAATGCAGCTGTTTTGTGCTAGAGAGGAGGCAGTAACTGCAGTCCAGTGTTGCTGTGGAGTGGAAAATTCTGGCTTTTGAATAATAAATATTTAGTGACTCAAGAGAGTAGTCTGTCTTACGGTTCACAGTCCAGTTGCTGCAGTCCTGCTCAAAGTCTTGGACTGCAGGCCTCAAGAATGCCCAATCTGTGCAGCTGATACTGTCTTAACTTACGTGATCTTCAAGAGATAATATACAAGTATCTGTAAAAATATAGCTGTAAAGCATCATCCAGGAGTACACTGCTAGCTTATTGGCTCCTCTACTGGCATAGAGTTTTGAAGTTTGTTAATGGTAATGAAAGTGAAAATGACTCCATCTGTTAAGAGAAATGTTTACTCTTCCGTACTAGGAAGCTTGCATCTCTCTGCAGCTTATTGTCAGCTTTACTTTGTCAGTTTTGCATCAAGCAGCAGGAAAAAGAAAGCATAAAAATCAAAATGAGCTGAAAAATACCTTTCAAGCTGATTTACGGAATACAATATATTACTGAAAATGGTCTGCTTCCTTTGATGTTATCCAACACACCATACTGTGCATAGTTTATGGATACAAGAGGTAGGTGATCCTTAGAAAAATGCATGCTCTCCAAACAATAACAATTTGACTAGATTAATTCCAAACCCCCTGAAATTTACTCTCTGTACACATCGTATTATAATATTGATAGAAAAATACAAAAGAAAGCAAACAGCTCAGAGATATCTGAATTTTGTGCTTTGAATTTAGGCTGATACTCCCACTGAAATTGAGATTACAGAGTTTGCAAAAGAGCGAAGAAAAATACCCTTCACAATCAGGTAAGGTCAAAGACCTATGCACTTCAGGTCTTGATTTCTGCAGGAGGGCTCCAGCTAGATGCTCAGTTTTCCTGCAACATACCATATCTGGTATTTGCAAGGAATCTAGAGCATACTGAAGTAAAAACAATCTTCTGCTCCCTTGTTGCTTTTCTTTTTCCCTGTGGCTTTTTGGACCATGTAGTTTCTCTTCAGAAAAAAATAACAGAGGGGAGATTCTAAATAGCTATCCTTTTAAGATGAAGCTCACCTTTTCCCCTTCCTGTTCTGTATCCTGCTATCCTTCAAAGTGAAGGAGTGGTATCTCTGAATTCTTTGTTATTTAGCAGCTGTGGGAATTGAATTCATTTTGCCTTGAGTTACAGACAGCCCTTCTCATCACAGTAGCTAAAACTTCCTAATTGTTAGGGTCTGTATCCACCCCAACATGCCTGAGGAAGGGCAGTCATTGCCATCACTGAGACACAGTATGAGCATAAGAAGTTATCTGAACTGCGGGACATAAGTGCACACCTGGTCTGTGATCTGACTCATGTGTGATGAGGGTTTCAAGATTTTGCATTTGGTGGCTGCACTCTAGTTTTGGAGGGAAAGGTGACCCTGCAGTCAGGGTGGAGCAAGTCTGGCTAATGAGTGGACTAGTTGCTCAGGGAGCAGCACAGTTTAGGTGACCTGGAGGTTGAGAATCACCAGAGACTGATGTCCGAGGCACCGGTACTTTCCATAAAAGCATATAAGAGGACTTTGACGTCTGTGGATGGATGGCACTTAATTCAAAACAATTCCGGTGGCTAGGATATTTCACTGGGCTTTGTTTTACTTCAGAAGGAAAAGTTACTTACCTCCAGCCTCTGCATAAACACAGTGGCTACCGATCTGTCTTCTTAAGGAATGACAGTGAGCCTCATTCCCCATGTTTTTGAGGGAACTCTCTAATCCATTGATCCTAAACCAAAGCACTGACCTGCCCAGGATTGTTTTAAGGTGTGTCTGGGAAACTTGCAGATAAAACACATCAGGGCTTTCAGAGACTGGGAGGGGTTTTCTGGATTGCACTTCAGAGCTGAAGCCCTACATACCATGAGGTGCAGGATCATTCAGTTGCCTCCATATAGCAGTCTACGGCCACTTAAGGAGCCTTATTATTTTCTGCTGGCCTCAAGAGGCTATTCCAGGAAGTTCTGGTATTTGCGTATTGGATATCATATCCACTATCTCCATGTGTTGGAGACAGAGCGTTTTTTAGGGAGTGGAACTGAGTCCTAAATAACCTGCAAAAATCAACATGCTAGAGACAAGCCTCAAATGTACTTTCTCTAAAGCCTAATTTAGTCCATACCCCAACCACTAGCCAAGTTGTTTTGCTCCTTGCCCAGAGTTTCTTGTTCAAGTGAGAGGCTTTTACTTTGCTGCTTTTCACTGCTAAATAGCTGAATATCCATTTCATACTTGATGTCTGGAAAGCCCTAGAAATCTTAATGCTGTGATCTTTGAAGCCTTACTCTCGTCCACTGCTTTTCATTTCAAGTACTCAGTCTTCTTTCACAAAGGACCCACAAACTGTAGCCAGAAACATTCCTAAGAAAGATGATGCTAAACTGATCAACATTTTCTGTTCAGTGGTGACTTTTATCCTCTCTTTTCTGTTATATTTCCTCTATCAGGTTGATACTCAAAAGTAGATTTAATCCTACTGATATTGACAAAATTAGTTTCACAGTTACCGACTTTGGGTTTCACACATGCATCACCTTTTGTAGGATAAGGCTAAGGATAAGAGATTCTCTGTTGTTTGCATCTTGTTGCATAAAGAGTACTATAGGTCTGATCCATGCCCTTCTTTTTTGTCAATATTGGAAAAAAAATAAGGTATTATGGAAACTGTACATCCACCTTGCTCAATAGAACTGAATACAATGGTTGAGTATTTTGGAGGCGTTTCATAATGTCTGGGTTTTGTACATTTATACTGTCAGCTGCTAATACAGCATATTAAGTTTTCATTATGTGTAGCTTCTGAATGCTTGGAATAGGCTCCTTAATGAAGTAAGCAATGTATTTTGATTGACAGCTAAAAAAAAAATTAAAAGTCTATTATTTTGTTCTGGTTGTTAGGGTTTTTTTTTGTGTGAGATATCTCCTGAATCTGAAGGGTATTTGGAAACTTGAGAGGTGCCTGAAATTCAATGGGTGTAAGAAAAATTACTGAGTTCTCAACATTATTCCTATATCAGGTTAGTTTATTATATTTGAAGTTTAAATTTTAAGCAATTCATTATAATATTTTGATGATTCCCACAGAAGAATTAAAATAAAAGTGCTTAAAAACAAGCATATACTTAAATTTTGGCAGATAAGTCCTTCTTAGTTAACACTTCACAGAAATTACTTGTATGTACTTGACAACAACATACATTTTTCATAAATCTGATTCTTGTGTTCTCAGGCAAAATCTTAAGAAAGAACAGCAAAAAGGAATATGCCAGAGATGACATCTTGGCAAGCTCACTGAACTTATTATCATCTACATTAAAAACCTGGAATATCAGCAAGGCATATAACTTTGGGTCATTCTGTACTACTGTTTCTGCTGATGCTTAGACTATGGCCAGATGTGACCATTTTTTTCTCTGAAATGCATGACTAATGTAGCACATCCTATTGGCCAACTGAGCCTGATGTTCAAGATTCTGTTACCTGTCAGTCAAGTGATAACAGTTGTCTGCCCCTGAATTGAGTCCTGAAAACTTTCCAATTGCCAGAAATACTTTATTAAGTTCAGGGTGTTTTGGACCACATTTTTAAGCCTCACTACTGATTCCTCCTTGGATGATGGTCACTTAGATCCATTTTTTTGCTATGTCATGAGGATGTCCCTGTAATATAATTAGTGCACTAAGCATAATTTTGTTTTCCTCTGGTCTCATGTGTGAGGCATTACCCAAATGGCTGTGGTGGTACAATAATCTCTGATCTTGTGCTGTTGTCCAAGGTGTACTGCTGCTGGAAATCAAATCATCATCAGAGAACATGTCCTCATTCTACCCAGGGGTAAAGCCACTGCTTTTAGTAGTCTGAGCTGTGCTTAACTGGCTACAGAAATAGCCAATAATCCAGGATGTGAGAGTAAGGAAAAACTGGTATGTGACTCCTAAGGGATTCTAATAACATGGATGAATAAGAGAAAAGGCGGGTATGTTAATGGGTGCAGATCTGTACATATCATATCACCTGCCAGAACACAATGAACATGATCTTGCTAAGCATTGAAAAGGTTTATCATACAACAGCCATGAAGAAAGTATCCTTGCTTCTCAGTTTGGTTGGAAATTTGGAAAGGTCTTTATATGTGCACCCTCCTTTTCGTAATGGTGTCCTGTTCTGGATTTAGGGTGCTTATTTTAAGAAAGCATTGGTGTTAAACAGCTATGGTATAGACAGCACTATGTACCATACAGATGTTCTGAATCCTATCAGTGCATATTATGCAGCTAGCAAATACTACACATCACAAAACAATTTCCACTATCTGTTGTATATAAGGTAATCTCAGTTTTGGCTGAGTTCATCCTGTTGCCTAACTTTTTGTAGCACAAATTTACATGGTATGTAGGTACTTCAAAAATGACATCTAAATTTGTTTTGGCTTTGTTTTATTTAAAAGCTTTTTCCACTTTGCCCAGGCATATTTTTGTCCCATATCACGAGCAGGACTCAAGCTCAGAATATATTATTGTTTTCTTGATGTGTTATATGTTATCCGACATCTGCTTTCTTTGTCATGCCAAATCCTTCAAGCAATATTTTGAAAGACCTGAAAGATATTTTAAGTAGTAAACATCTTCTGGTAACAATACTTAGTTTCATCGCTACTCTTAAAAATTTCGCCTGCATGCTAATTGCTTTTGTGTTTCCATACAGTCTCTCCATTAGTATTTAGGATTTTTTTTTCCTTTTTACTACACACCTCATGTAGCCAATGCCATAACTTTTAGAAAGATAGTTATAAAAAGGTAGTAATCTTTGTGATTTTCTTTCCCTTATTCCCTTCAGGCCAGCCTCTTGAACAGAAGAAAAACTAAATTGTTAATGCATGGGAAAACAAATACAGTGATTTTATATGTACTGTAGTTTGAGTTTTTCACTGTAGCACTCCTTTAAAAACACTATTGCATAGTTATCCTAATTACATGGTTGCTGTCTGGCCAGCAAAAGAAGAGTTCAACAAAATAAGCTTCAGCAATTCTCTAAAGACTGCATTGGACTTTGGTATTATTTTCTCTAGTTCTGACCTTAACCTAGGACTGAAGGTTATCTAAAGACAAAAATAGACTCAATGCTGTCTACTCTGAATTTCCTGAAGTAATAAATGTTGTTGTTTCTGCTAAAACTTTGAAGTTTTCTACAGAGACAGCTTGAATTTCTGTCCAGGACCTCTTTTTTTTTTTTTTTCATAACCTGGGTTAGTCTCTGGATTTAAGATCTGTGGATGCCAAATCCCATGTAAAATTTACCAAGCATTATCATTCATGTGTTTATTTCACTGTTAAAAGGATGCCATCTTCTGCCAACTTTCCCTTGGAAGTATTCAGCTATGCAAGCCTGCAGAGAAGCTCAAGGGAAAAAAGAGCTGGTTTTCGCTTTTTGATAGTTCATTTTCTTCCTGCCTACGACGTGTATAGATCCGAGGCTTACAGGTGGAGCTATAGGCCATTGAGAAACAGGATGCTCTAGTGTCCTCACACCAAAGCAGAATATAGACCTCTTGACTGGAGGACCCATTTCAGCCCACTGTGAGCAGTCCTGCTTCCAGATCCTGGCCCATCCATACAAGAAAGACCAACTGAGTGGTGAGGTGAGCAGTATCTGCTGATTTGCTTGCTTGTCTTTCATTTCAGCTTCCCAGAAAGTCTTGGCTGGTATCAGATGATGATGTTTTTCTGTAAATGTTATATTTCTTGTATGGCACAGGGTAGAAGTTAAAAATCAATATTTTGGATGTAGTTGTGTGATCTTTGGGAGAGAAGCAAGAGACTTGTGCTTTAGGACAACCCGGAACTGTAGAGATATGAAAGGCAGGGACAAGCATGGGCTGTTAACTCTGCCTAACTAGCTGGGCAAAGTGTGAGCTGAATACCATGCTAAAATGGCTTCTGCTTTCAGACTGCTCAGAGCATGGGCAGACCCTGTTTGCTCAAAAAACACATCAGAGACTTACCTTGTAGTCTGAGAGGAAACCAAAAATCTATTTCTGTAAATTAAACTTTCACATTTTTCCTTTCAAGTAGCCAAGAATTCAAAGAACTCCAGCATCCAGACAGTTGAGTTTTCTTCCAGAATATAATTTTTCACTTCTCTGGATTTCTATGTCACTTTCCAAAAAATAGCCAGGGAGTATGGGAGAAGAGGGAAGAAAGAATTTCGGGAAGGAATGAAAAACACAGATTAATATCTGTAAAGCTGGGCTACTGTACTTCATAGTACAAGCCAGCTTCCAAGCCAATGGACATAACAACCCTAACTATCCCCTCAGGGGAATTATAGGCTGCAAAGTGAAAACGGGCTGTGTGATTATGTGTGTGCTGGAATCTGGGGTAGTGAGGAAAGAGAGAGATGCCTTGTTTAATAAACATATGCTAGAAGTGTGAAAGCTGCAGTAATTTGGTTTCTAAGCCCTACCCACATCTCCATTTCACAAATTGTCTCTTTCATATGGATATAGAGTTGACCTTGCAGGCTCTTAGGCTTCAAGTGAACAGGGTCACTCAGGGCCCAAGTCACCGCTCAACCTCCCCCACACATACCCCAGTTATATCTTTTTACTATCTCTGCTGGACACCGCACCTTTCTGTAATTATAAATGTCTGCTTTCTGTCACTTCAAAGGTTTCCCAGCACTGGGAGTCCTTCTTCAAAGACTTTACATCGCTGAAGAACCTCTGTCATTGACAGGAGGCCCGTCTTTGAAGTTTTTCATGCCATTTATTGATTTCCTCTTTTTAGGATGTTCATATTAGAAAATATTTCACTGTGTTTGAAAAACTGTATATTTTTATGTTGTTGAGGGGCTACCTCTTTGAAGAAACAACGCTGTTGCAGCAGTGCCTCTCTAGGAAGAAATCTGATCGTCTGTCTGCTGTTTCTTTATGTCCCTTCAAGCTCTCATTTTTAGAAACATCCCCTCTTTGTTTCTTTTCTAATTGTAGGTACTATTTTAGGTATTTAAGTCAGTGTGAAGCTGTATTATCAATGTGACTAGGCCTGATTTGAAGGTCCTATCAGTGTACTTAAACTTTTCATGTGCTTAATATCCCATTGGATTAGTGATAAAAAAAAGTGAAAATAATAACTTTGGAGCAAATTAAAACAATTTATGCATATTTACGTGACAACTGGTTGGAATGGTGTTATACTGTTGTTCTCATAAATCTGAATTTTCTTAAGTGTATGCAGAAAGGCAACAAAATTCTGCAATTTTTAACAGGAGGATGTCTTGGATACTTCCAGGTAACCATCATGAACTCTTTTCCTAAATTGAGAAAAAGATTTGTGTGAGCACCCACTGTCAGCTTCAGCAAAAACTTAGCATCAGCATAAACTGCTTGGAAGGTGATGTGAGCAGGCATAGCACTAGCAAGTTCATGGAAGCTGCTCTGGCAATTCAGCAGCGGCAAATAATGAACACCTGATGGGCGGAAAGGTCTTAAAACACTCTCCGATTCTGTTCTAATGGGGAATTTTAATAGCTGACATTTTTTGGATACATTAATTTTTTGCAAGTATCTGACTTTTTGGGGGGGAGAAGGGGAGAGGTGGTGGTTTGTGTTGTTTTTTTCTTTTCCTAGAGGTTTGACTTGACTCCCTTTATCTATTCCAAGGATGCAGGCTCTTTTTGTATATACCAAGGGCTTTCATTGGCATTATCTGCAAAATATCTTTGAAAATTAAGGAAGTTGGACATTTCAAAGGAGAGATGCCTCAAACCAGCTGCCACTTTGCTCATTTCAACCTTTGACACTATGAAGAGTTCCAAGGACTTGTCTTCTGAAAGTGTTTACCTTGTAAGGTGGCTTCCTGGGTAGGGTAAGTTCACATTGCTCATATATTGTTAAGAGGAAACTTTTGACCTTGGGTTACTTCAAAGATCTGACAGATCCTCTCCCTACCCACTCCCCCCCCCCCCCCATTTTTTTAACTCTTCTCTCTTTGCACATATGTTAATGCAGGCCTTTTGGCTTTTAGGATGAAAAGCTAGTATTGCCTTATTCTTTCCATGCCCTAAAATGTAGTCTGCTCTGATTAACTGAGAAACAATGAAAATAACTGACTGGGGTACATATGTGGTTGAATTGAACATTCTTAAATAACCATAGTGTGTTTTAGAGCAGAGAATTATTTTCCCCTAGTGATAAGGTTGACTTTAGATATGTTTAAGTCTGTCTTCCATTGTCACTGGCAAAGACTGCAAAGTTCATTGTCTCAGAAACGTGCTGTTAACATGGAGCTGATCCGTGTGTGCACAAGAGATGTGACAATTCTGTGCTCACGGCACATGTGGATTGTCCCTACATCACATGCACAGTGAATCTTTTAAAGTAAGGAAGCTTCAGATCTGTTGTGTGTGGGGGATATTTGCAGAGAATGCACTAGCAGTGCTGTGGATGCACAGGTTGAGATGCATGGTATGTTTTGCAGGCCCATCCTGCCTACCCCATGTTTTGTATTCCTGTGCTCTAGAGGCAAGCAATGCAGAAGAGGCATTGTCTCAAAAAGTCCATGTTTCCAGGAAACTACAGAGTCAGCTTGGCTGCGTGACACAGGGACTGGTGAGTGAATGACTGAAGCTGTAGGTTTAGCAAAAAATATTGCAGAATGATTGCGTTGTTGAAACACTTTGAGGTGTCAGGTATATTTAAAGGAATACATGGCTTTCAAATGCAGAAAGGTATGTTTATCATTCATCCAATACCTGGGCAAACAGCCAAATATTTATGGCTCAGTTTATTGTTTTATCCCGCAAAGTTTTAACAGATCCATTAAGTAAAGCTTAAGTATGGCAAAACTTCTGGGAAACTGACTGATATAAATGGCATGGAATACCTACACGTGTGTCATAAGGCAAATAAAAAAAACCAGCCTCAATAAGACACCCTGAAGTTAATGTCATTACACTGTGGCAAATTATGATCCAAGTCTGTAATTTGTTGCTGCAACACTTCTATTAAGACTCGTGATATCATGCTCTCACATTCCTCTTGTGAGATAAAAATAAATTAGAAAGTTACTCATGGATTTTCAGTTTATGCACAAGCCATCTTCCTTTTCTGGATGTTACTTATAATGACCACAGAAAGACATTCTACAGGTATGTTGCCGAATTAAAAATCCAGCTCCTCTGCTGGAGCCAGGCAATCTGCAGAAGGAAGCATGTATCATCATGTTATTATGATAAGTTAATTGAAACTGAGGAGCTGATGTTGCCTGGATTAAATAAATTTTGCTTTTTGTAGGGGTTGCACCAAGAGAATTTCCTGACTTCATACTCAGAGACAGGAGGTTATGGTTCTCCACAGACGCTTTAAGTGCTTCATATCTCTGCAGTCTTAATTTGGCAGGTTCTGCTGAAACTACCTGCAAAGGTGCTGTTCCTGAGGTTATCCTGATTTTGCAGTTCGCTTTACTAAGGTAACAGACTGACTTCTTTTGTAGCCATCTGGAGCTGACTTCTGTTGTTCATATACCACATTGAGCTGACACTGTGGTAGACAGGGAAACAGTAACTTCTTATCTTTTTGTACAGGTTTGTCATGTAACTGTGTCTTCCCTACCTAAATTTTCTGAATATTGTCTAAAATATTTTGCCTAAATCTAAAATAATGGAATTGTACTGCTTTACTGCTACTCTCCCTAATAAAAGTTAACCTTAACATTTGGTAAGACCTTTACTTCTTCAGTGTCTCCATCTGGTGCCAAAAGGACTCTTCACTTCTATTAATTTTCTGGGCTTATGTAGCACAGAAGTGCTTTACACTGTTGTATAAAAGAAATGACCAATTCTTTCTGTATCATAAATCTTTTTGTAAGCTTTGATGACACTAGCATTTTATGAAGAAGGAAATTAATGTAAATGAGATTAAATTATTTTTTCCTTCTGATGAGTTGTCATTGACATTTCTTGAATATTAAGGAAAGAGAGGAAGTGAAAAAGTTTGGGGTATATTATTTATCCCATATGTTTACAGTTTGTGTAGAATAATTATATAAAGGATGGATGCTTGTAGTGCTCTTCTCTGTGCATCATTAATGTGATACTTCTTTCCTTGTCACTAGATTTAAACTGTAGCATTGTAAGACAAACATCCTCCTTCAGCTGCTTCTATTATCCTGCATACTATTATAAAATGAGAGGAGAATGCAGTACTTTATCTCTTTATATATTATAAAAATAATGAAGAGGATAATTATCAAGGCTGTAGTGCAATTTCATGGCGTTGCTGTCAACTGCAAACTGCTTGAGCGCATTCCTTTGGTATAAAATGTCAAGAAAATCCCATGATTGAAATACAGTATTCTAATTAATTTCTCTATTATTACTTTCATGGGCTGTGTCTGTGCAGAATACTTGCTAATGGTTAATAAAAAGAGAATGAAATGCAGACAGTCCAGTTTTAGCTTTTAAGTTGTATCTTTCCGTGCCCAACCTTTCATTGTGCTGATAAACACAAATTAACAGACTTAAAAAAAAAAAGTCAGATCAAACTCTGGCATTCTGTGAAGAGCCTCTGCTGAATGTCTGTTTTATCATCTGTCTCTTCACAAAGGCAGTTCAGAGCTGAGTGTTTATATTTGTAACCTTACTGGTACCACCAGTTTCCTGATGTGCACCATTTCTACTTGTAACCGTAGGGTGCAATGTTGTCTGAAGCCCTCTTCCTTCTTTACACTGCTGGATCATAATATTTGTTACTTGGTCACTGGGCCTATATACACCAGTAAGAATGATGCTGTTTGTATAAATACCAGCCACTTTCCTGATTTTTTACTCACCTAAATTGCATTAATAAAAATGCAAAGCGATCTCTCCATCCAGATTTATCACTTTTTTTTTAACATTAAAAAGCAGGCTGTTTATATGCTACCAGTGGGTGGCAGCTAGCTTCAGCCTGAAGGTGGGCACTTGCTTCTACTTAAATATCTTGCTGTTAAGAAATGCCAGTGCATTGAACACCATCTATGTAGAAGATAAAGAAGGCCTGCAGTTTTTATTTGGAGGGAAAAATTTTGAGGGTAAAAACTCATGCTTCAAAACTAATGGCACCCTTTCCCAGTCTTATTCTAGACCAGGTGTTTTTACTAAACTTCTTGCCATTTTGCATTTGAGAGAAACACAGTTTTTCAAAATCCTCTGCAAAATATCATTAGCATTGATAAGTTCTGCTTTCCACACATGACACTGCCTCCTGCAGGCTAGTCTATAAGTACACAAAATAATTATGGCACATCATAAATAATGAATATACCTATCGAGGTTTTGCAGGATTGCTTGTGACATGAACATAAAACATTCTGAGAATAGGAGAGGAAATTGCTTGGTATCGGCTGTTTAATTGTCTGATTTATAGAGAGGAAGTTGAGCCTGGATTTGGGCCATGCAGGACATTAGTTAATTCTAGAGGTTTGTGCCTGAATGGGTTTAACTCCACTCTGGGATAGACATTTGTGCAAAGAAATCAAATGTTGCTTTCGTTCCTCTGCTGCTGTTGCTGCTGTGCTGCAAATCCTCTGAGTTCTTCTGAAATCACTGAAATAGCCAGCTGTGTACCTAGAATGGCTGGCAGCATGGCAGGGAGCTGCTGCCAGGTATTCCTGGTACATTTGGCAGCTCAAATGAGGAATGAGTTAATATCTTTTTCCAGGGCTCAGTGTTGCATTTAAGCAGAATCCTGCACTGGAGGGAGCCGCATCTCTTCAGTCATATTGCCTCAAGGAATCATGTCTCAAAACGCAGAAACCCTACTAGGTGTCCTGGCAGACTGAAGAATGTGTCGCTTTGCTGCTCCACTTGAGGGGAAGAAAAACCTTCCTGTTAATATAGTCAGCCAGTTTTGGTAGCCAAAGCATGGGTATATTTTTGTCATGGTCCTGCTTTTTTCTTGCTTCTTCTGTCCAACATTTGTCTGCAGAAGTAGAAGGCATAAAAATGGACCTTGTTCCTTCTCCTGTCTGGTGGTAATAAATCTGTGGGACATCTGGACATCAGCTGGTCTTAAATTTGGACTGTGCAAAAACTAGTGAAAAGTATTAGATGTCAATTGGAAGAATGTAATTTTACAGAGTCATTTTCTTGTTAGGTTCATAAATGAAAATGGTGGTGCATACGAGCATCCATTTTATTTCCTTTTCACATGTGGTCCATTTAGCCCACAGATTAGGAGGAACCAGAAGCACTTGCTTCTGAAGGAAGTAACATATCTCTACCATCATTAGTTACAGGATAATGTGTCCTCAGAATGCTTTTTCTCTAACATTCCAGAGACAAAACTGAGATTCATGTATGAAGTTTATATCTTTCTCAAAGTTATTATTGTCAGAGTCTAGCAGTATCCTTGTGTTGCATCTAGTATGTTCAACAAACATTTCAAAATAGTTTGGGAGAGAATGACCTGGACCACCTAATTTTCTCAAGGTCAGATGTTTCTTTTGGTTAAACTAGTGAACGCCTGGAGGCATGCTACTGCAGTGACTTGAGTTGCTCGTGTTGACAGTGATATTATGGAGGAAAACTAGTGTCCAAAGACACTGCTTACTCTTGAGTGGTGGGAAAAGAAATAATTAAAAAGACCCTAATTGCAATAGTGTCTTAGGCAGGGAGCTAGGTTTTGATAAGAAACTAAAAAAAAAAAAAAAAAAGAAAGGTTTCCAGCTTGTAAATAGAGATTGTACTGGGGTCTGATTTGAGAGTGCAGTTGGAAATTCATTATGTGTCCTATCATAAAACAAATCCTGAAATCACTGAGGTTATATAGAATGGTTCTGTGATCTGAGCATGGTATGGTGTTTGCAAATGACTGTTCTGTGTATTCTGCTTTGCCAAGTTCATTTTAAATGATCTTCAGTGTGTTACAGGCTTGAAGTGCTTGGTCATTATTTTTATCTCAGGGAGTCTGTTGATTTTATGATCTGCATTCCCCTTATGAACTCTTCAAGTCTAATTTCTTTGCTTACCTTCAACTGAGGCATTTCATAGTTATACAAATGTGTGTTTATCTCTTTCTCTGCTTGAGGCTGTTCTAAACTGCCAGGATCTCTTGGAGGGCTAATTTCAGTAATGTGTAACACTCCAAATGCATCTGCAAAGATGGCAAGGGATGGAACAGCGAAAGCACTCTATAATACTTTGGGAAGGGAATGCCAGTGAAGAATGGGAACAAGAATGTCAGAAAAGCCAAAGATGTCATCTACCTCTAATAAACTGCACATAAATTTATATACAGAATCGGTTCTTCTGGCATGCAAATATAGTTATTTGAAGGACTTGCTCTGTATATGCAATTTATAACAAAAGTCACTATCTAAATGGCTCTTCTGGATCTATTTCACTTTCTTCTGGTCTCAGCTTACACAGTGATCCTCTTTGTGGATACAATTTGCAGTCGTCAATTTCACTGATTCTATTTTGCTTTTTCCCGGAAATTGGATTTTTCTTTCAGGAGCCATTAAATGTCTTTCCTTGAAAATGCTGACTGCTTTTGGTGTACTGTTTGATCCAATAGCTGATACCCTACCTCACCATCTGGCAGTTCTGCCCTTGTGTTCATGAAAGAATAGTTTATGAAGAATGAAAATAAAAAGAAAGAATTTGATGTGTTATGGGTAGCTTTTCCGGAATCTCCATGTGAGCAGCTGGCAAGATAGCTATTCTGGTTTTGTTTATGCAGTTTTGAAACAACCTCTAAGTATCATTTAGTTCTCTTATTTATTATTTATGAACAGCTTATGCAAGTAAATAATCACTTTGACCTCAGTTAGACAACTAAAGTGGGTGGGTAGTACTTTGCTTTAGATTACTAGGTGCTGGAATGGGTAAGAACTAAGCAGTAGTAGGTTTTCCATCTTTTGCATTCATACAAACATGGAGTTCTTAACACAGAAAAAAAATAATATTAAAAATAAAAATTGCCATGGCTTACTCCTGGTGCCTCAGAAGTGTCCATTGGGGTTATTTATAGTCTAAAACCAAAGTCAATGCTTTTCTTCACTCTGGAACCCTGGAACCTTTTACTACTTGGTATTTTTGTCTTTGCTTTTTGTGATGCAATGGTCAGTAAACCAGCTGTATCTTGTAATTTCTATGACCTAAATATTCTGTTATACACATAAAATGAGTAAATGTACATAAGTGTATACAGAAAAGAAAGAAGCAGCAATTTAAAATACTGAGGTAAAGTTTCGGTACAAAGGTCTGTATAGATACAGGGAAGGAAGAGTATCATTACATAGCTTTCATTTTTAAATTATTGTTTTGAAGGAAAAGAAATGAGAATGATCCAGTACTAAAGCAACAGGATGGTGAAATTATCTAAACATTTGAATTTTCAGCACACCTTCATACAGTGGTAAAGCCCATATCCGAAGCCTGTAGTCTCACTTTAATGATTATGACAAGATCAAGAAATTTGATGTGAAACTTCCTCATAAGAATGACTTTAACAGCACAGCACTAGCTGTAAGATAGCTGCAACTGGGGAAGTATGTCTTTCCAAGTTCAGCATTGTTTTAATGCTAAACATGTTTCTCCTCTCATCTGCCTGACTCAGCTGTATCATCTGTGCCACTGTGTTAAGTGTTGGCCTTAATAAATGCAAATAAAATAAAATTAGACCCTTGATTGTAAAATCTGAGGTAACTGTAAAACTGAGATGTAACTGCATGGCTCTTACCCAGCCTATTGGAAATGAGAAAGGGTCATTTTATGATTTCTTCTTAGTATTTCTATCCTGATTCCAACCAAAAGCTTGAAGATAAAAGAATGGAGAGGGGAGGGAGGGAAGGAGAGTGTCGTCCCATATGGATTGAAACATTACAAAATACAAAGCTGGAGTCTGGCATTGCTGCAGTCCAGGTAAAACAGCAGGAGCTATTGTAATACAGTGAGAAGCATTCAATAAATCTGAAACTGTTACAGCAGCAGTGGGGTACTTTCAACATAATTCCTATTTCTTTGGGAACAATTTTGTAATTGAAAGTATTTATTTATAAAGTAACTCACAGAAAGAAGTAAAAGTGGCAGTGTTTTCAGTTCTTAACTAGTAATCACAGGCCAGTTCAATTCAGGGTAGAACAGCTAGAGTAGCACATGAGAAACACAGGATAATAACAGAGTCTGAGCTGAGAATACTGAACACCTTGTATTTCTAATTGCATCCATCTTGTAAATGAACAGAAACTTTAATTGAAAAAAAACTTATTGTGGGAATCACTAGCAACAAAGAGCTGTCTTATGAGCCTTAAATAGACAAATATTATTTGTCATAAATCAATTTTTTCTATTAGTTTGTTAA